GGTTTCTTGCCTCTCAGGTTTTAATACCGTTGAGCCTTAAGAGGGTGCATTCACATTTCATGATCGATGCACCTCGACCATGCCTATGGCGGGCGGAACATGCCATATACATGACAACTATACAACTATACATCCATTCGATGGATGTAGGGTTTTAACCAATCAGAACGCAGGAAACTGTACAACTATACAACCATACAACTATACGACTATACGGCTATGCATCCATCGAACGCATGTATAGTTTACAGCGTGCGGGCCGAAGTGCCTTAATCAACGACTATACAACTATACGACTATACGTCTATAAAGGTCGGGTTTCAACTACTGCTCGTGCAGTGGTTTCTCTCTCCCACTCTCTCCTCATAAAACAACTACTGCTCGTGCAGTGGTTTCTCTCTCCCCCTCTCTCCTCACAAAACAACTACTGCTCGTGCAGTGGTTTCTCTCCCCCCCCCCCCCCCTTTCTCCTCACAAAACAATTACTGCTCGTGCAGTGGTTGTTTTGAGAGAGAAACCACTGCACGAGCAGTAGTTGTTTTGTGAGGAGAGATCGAGAAACCACTGCACGAGCAGTAGTTGTTTTGTAAGGAGAGAGGGGGAGAGAGAAACTACTGCACGAGCAGTAGTTGTTTTGTGAGGAGAGAGGGGGGGGGGGGGGGGGAGAGAAACCACTGCACGAGCAGTAGTTGTTTTGTGAGGAGAGAGGGGGAGAGAGAAAACCACTGCACGAGCAGTAGTTGTTTTGTGAGGAGAGAGGGGAGAGAGAGAAACCACTGCACGAGCAGTAGTGTTTTGTGAGGAGAGAGAGGGGAGAGAGAAACCACTGCACGAGCAGTAGTTGTTTTGTGAGGAGAGATCGAGAGAAAACCACTGCACGAGCAGTAGTTGTTTTGTAAGGAGAGAGGGGGAGAGAGAAACTACTGCACGAGCAGTAGTTGTTTTGTAAGGAGAGAGGGGGAGAGAGAAACTACTGCACGAGCAGTAGTTGTTTTGTGAGGAGAGAGGGGGGGGGGGGGGAGAGAAACCACTGCACGAGCAGTAGTTGTTTTGTGAGGAGAGAGGGGGAGAGAGAAACCACTGCACGAGCAGTAGTTGTTTTGTGAGGAGAGAGGGGGAGAGAGAAACCACTGCACGAGCAGTAGTTGTTTTGTGAGGAGAGAGGGGGAGAGAGAAACCACTGCACGAGCAGTAGTTGTTTTGTGAGGAGAGAGGGGAGAGAGAAACCACTGCACGAGCAGTAGTTGTTTTGTGAGGAGAGAGGGGGAGAGAGAAACCACTGCACGAGCAGTAGTTGTTTTGTGAGGAGAGAGGGGGAGAGAGAGAAACCACTGCACGAGCAGTAGTTGTTTTGTGAGGAGAGAGGGGGAGAGAGAAAACCACTGCACGAGCAGTAGTTGTTTTGTGAGGAGAGAGGGGGAGAGAGAAACCACTGCACGAGCAGTAGTTGTTTTGTGAGGAGAGAGGGGGAGAGAGAAACCACTGCACGAGCAGTAGTTGTTTTGTGAGGAGAGAGGGGGAGAGAGAAACCACTGCACGAGCAGTAGTTGTTTTGTGAGGAGAGAGGGGGAGAGAGAAACCACTGCACGAGCAGTAGTTGTTTTGTGAGGAGAGAGGGGGGAGAGAGAAACCAATGCACGAGCAGTAGTTGTTTTGTGAGGAGAGATCGAGAAACCACTGCACGAGCAGTAGTTGTTTTGTGAGGAGAGAGGGGGAGAGAGAAACCACTGCACGAGCAGTAGTTGTTTTGTGAGGAGAGAGGGGGAGAGAGAAACCACTGCACGAGCAGTAGTTGTTTTGTGAGGAGAGAGGGGGAGAGAGAAACCACTGCACGAGCAGTAGTTGTTTTGTGAGGAGAGAGGGGGAGAGAGAAACCAATGCACGAGCAGTAGTTGTTTTGTGAGGAGAGATCGAGAAACCACTGCACGAGCAGTAGTTGTTTTGTGAGGAGAGAGGGGGAGAGAGAAACCACTGCACGAGCAGTAGTGTTTTGTGAGGAGAGAGGGGGAGAGAGAAACCACTGCACGAGCAGTAGTTGTTTTGTGAGGAGAGATCGAGAAACCACTGCACGAGCAGTAGTTGTTTTGTAAGGAGAGAGGGGGAGAGAGAAACTACTGCACGAGCAGTAGTTGTTTTGTGAGGAGAGAGGGGGGGGGGGGGGGAAGAGAAACCACTGCACGAGCAGTAGTTGTTTTGTGAGGAGAGAGGGGGAGAGAGAAACCACTGCACGAGCAGTAGTTGTTTTGTGAGGAGAGATCGAGAAACCACTGCACGAGCAGTAGTTGTTTTGGAGGAGAGAGGGGGAGAGAGAAACCACTGCACGAGCAGTAGTTGTTTTGTGAGGAGAGAGGGGGAGAGAGAAACCACTGCACGAGCAGTAGTTGTTTTGTGAGGAGAGAGGGGGAGAGAGAAACCACTGCACGAGCAGTAGTTGTTTTGTAAGGAGAGAGGGGGAGAGAGAAACTACTGCACGAGCAGTAGTTGTTTTGTGAGGAGAGAGAGGGGGGGGGGGAAGAGAAACCACTGCACGAGCAGTAGTTGTTTTGTGAGGAGAGAGGGGGAGAGAGAAACCACTGCACGAGCAGTAGTTGTTTTGTAAGGAGAGAGGGGGAGAGAGAAACTACTGCACGAGCAGTAGTTGTTTTGTGAGGAGAGAGAGGGGGGGGGGGGGAAAGAGAAACCACTGCACGAGCAGTAGTTGTTTTGTGAGGAGAGAGGGGGAGAGAGAAACCACTGCACGAGCAGTAGTTGTTTTGTGAGGAGAGAGGGGAGAGAGAAACCACTGCACGAGCAGTAGTTGTTTTGTGAGGAGAGAGGGGGAGAGAGAAACCACTGCACGAGCAGTAGTTGTTTTGAGAGGAGAGAGGGGAGAGAGAAACCACTGCACGAGCAGTAGTTGAAACCCGACCTTTATAGACGTATAGTCGTATAGTTGTATGGTTGTATGGTTGTATAGTGGTATAGTTGTTGATTATGGCACTTCGGCCCGCACGCTGTAAACTATACATGCGTTCGATGGATGCATAGCCGTATAGTCGTATAGTTGTATGGTTGTATAGTTGTACAGTTTCCTGCGATCTGATTGGTTAAAACCTTACATCCATCGAATGGATGTATGGTTGTATAGATGTCATGTATATGGCATGTTTCGCCCGCCATACATGCCTTCTCACTGCATACATGTATGTCTATGACTAGGAGCTGCAACATTACCCCCTCTCACACTCTCAGCCCCAGGGTCTCTTGCCTCCCGGGTTGTAATACCGTGAAGACTCAACAGGGTGCATTCACATTTCATGATCGACGCACCGCGACCGTGCCTTCTCACTGTGTATGTCTATGACAAGGAGCTGGAACGTTACCCCTTCTCACATTCTCAGCCCCAGGGCCTCTTGCCTCTTAGGTTGTAACACCGTGAAGACTCAACAGGGTGCATTCATATTGCATGACAACATTAGTTTAAGTTCATTTTGATGACTGAGATGGTGTGTTCACATTAAAGGACAAACTGCTCAAATGTATGCTCAAATACAAATTGAATTTGTACAAACTTTGTTTTTATTGCATTAATAAACCATATTGATTGATTGATTGCAGTGCTGGGCTATTGTAATTGTAAACTTCCAAGAGCACATTGTTGTAGAGCTAAAAAATAAATAAATACTCGCACATATTTAGCAAGTATGCAAAGTTGCAAACCAAAGGCGCCACTGAAGTATTCTTTTAAGTAGCTCTTATATATAATTGTTTAAAGTAATAGAAATTTGCCATTTCTACAATTTGAAGCCCAATTTATTCTACATGTATATACAAGAAAATGATTTTCATTATTGTAGAAGAATTTGCTTTTATTTTAAAGTAATCAACCATTATGTAATAAGAAAATTCAAATTGCTAAATATAGCGAGCTGGCTCTATCCCTTCTCCCATCAAATTGCAATGGAAAGTTACTCAATCATGTAGAAAAATTGCTTGTTTTTAGAACTCAATGGTTTGGAAGAAATCAAAATGGTACAGGCATGGATGATTTTTTTTAATCAATGTGAATGGTTAGTCTGTAGATGCAGACCCTTTTTTGACACTTAAAACTAATTCCATGAAACCTTGAGTCAAGCCTAATTCTGTCAGTCATTGGCTGTGTCAGGACAGGTGTACTATATGTAGAATGTATTCTCCATAGTTTCATATTTCAGACCCTCTGTTGTACGTTACAATTGACAGGGGTTTGTGCCTAAAATCTAATGAAGTGTAGCACAGAAAAGAGCCAGAGGAAACATCAGAAGAAAGGAGTTTGAATAAAATTCAAAGAGAGCAAGAGAAAATGAGCTTATATCTGAAAGGTCATTGTATCGATTTGTACAGCTTTTCGAGCTACCCACTGTCGACAATCATTGCTTGTGTAATGATGGATAGAGTATTTACATCTCAGTGTTGTAAATGTTGGGATTCTAACTTTTATTGCTAGATACATGACAGCTTCTCGTTAAACGAAAATGACTGCACTTTGAATCTTGTGACATTTTGTCCTTGTTTTCACGAAGTGACGGTAGTGCGGAAAATCGTAACGCAAAGTGAATGCAATTTTTTTTCACTACCGTCACTTCGTGAAAACAACGACGATTTGATGAGAGAGGAAAATATTTTAGTTGCTCTAGACCACATCGCTCTCTTTTCTCCCTTTTCTCTCTCTGTCCCTCTCTCTCCCTTTTCTCTCTCTGTCTCTCTCTGTCTCTCTCTGTCTCTGTCTCTCCATCTCATTTATCCCAATCTTCACCTCTCTTTTTATCTTCTCTCCTCTCTCCCTTCATATTTATCTTTCTCTGTAACCTGTCCCACTAAGTTCTCTGTTCTCTCTCTCTCTCTCTCTATATATATATATATCTGTCTCTCTATCTATCTATTCCCTCTCCCTCCCTACAGCCATTATGACATAAAATTGTGATATCCAATTTAAACATAAGTCTAATTATATCAACTACACTGTATTTCTAATCCTCCAGGTCCAGGTAGGAGCATGAAGGATCTCACCTAGATGTCATCTCTGGGACCATAGACACATAGCCCCCATCCACATGCAACATGATCCACCTTATCCACCCACCAGTATGATGTAATCTTCACCAGACCCTATCGGCCCTCTCCGCTCACCCACGTGTAGAGTCAGCCGGCCAGCCAGCCACCCCTTTAATGGACCCCACGAGAAGCCATGTGCTGCTCTCTCTCTCTCTCCGTCTCTACCTCATCTCCACACCATTGCCTTCTCACATCTCATCATCATGAGAGCAAGAGGCCTAGCAGGCCTGGGAAGCGCAAGGCGGTGAAAGTATAGGCAGCCGAGCGAGGTTATTATCGAACGCTATAAAAACCACCGTCTGCCGCTCGTTGCATATTTCTTACTCAACACTGTGGCGGATGTAACACATTACTCTTCTTTCTGTCTCACTTGGGACCTGCCGATATGGACTTGTGGATGAAGTGAAGACGGCAGCGACTATGAAACTGGTGGATTATATATTCCTGGATTACTCAGAATTGCTGTGTTTCGGGTTAGTATTCATATTCTTATTCATATTCATATTTATTTCATTTCCAACAGAAAGATGAACAAAGGTAATTACATTTTTCTCATACATAATTCATTTTTTCTGGTAACTATACAAATACACTTTGCACATAATAAAATTATTACAAAAAATTCTTAATATCTGAGGAAATGGGGGGGGGGGGGGATCCACTAAAAAGCAGTGCTTGTAGTTTGTGGAACCCCAAGCAAAAAAATATAATAGTTTCAATTTATTAAACATTCTTACACATTCTCACACATTATTCTCCTGAGGCACATACATGTACCTTTTATACATACAGGTGTGATTCTGCACAATGTATTTTCTTTTTTTTTGGAATATGTGCAGTATGGTCGGCTCAAGAATTTTCGGTTTTGTACATGTAGTTATTGGATACCCCTGTTTATCAGATGTGAAGGTTGATTACCCCACAATATTGAATTTACAAGAAGATCTGGTTTTGTCTGTTAAGATTAAAATATGCAAGGGCAAGATTCACTTGCATACTAATTGGGGGGGGGGGGCAATTGCCCCCAAAATAAAATTGAAATATGTTTTATTCTTAACAAATGTTACTGAAATGACATGATTTCCAGTTTTTTTTCTCACTTTTGCCCATTCTGTCCCCCCCCCCCCAAAGTTTTTGCTCATTACGCCACTGGGCAAGATACATTCAAGTACTTGAGGCCAGTTACATGTAGATGTTATTTTATGTCATAGTATACTCATCTGAGCAAGAACAGGGCTAAGACATACCCTGTAATCCACCCCTGGAAGTTGTGAGGAGATAACTAACTGTACAAAATAGATATTATTCATCAGGCACCATATTTATTGAAGACTTTAGTGATCTTTGCTGTCTTCTATGACTGAAAATATTTTGATAATTTGTGAGAATGTAGTGAATTATAGGATGCGGTAGGATGCAAAAGCTAATGTGGTAAGATTAGCAAGTGTGCGCTTGTAAAAAAAGACGCCTGGCTGGAATGCTCCCCAGGGAGTGGAGAATGTGCATACATTGTGTGCGGGTAAGCCTGAATCCTATGACCGGGGTAGTAATATATATATCTGTAAAGCGCTTTGAGAGGGCCTTCGGTCCTGAAAAGCGCTATATAAGAACTAGCTATTATTATTATTATTATGCACTTAATATAAATTTTCTTGATTTCTTCTTGAATAATCTGCCCCTTTAAAGCCATCTTGATGAGATGTGAACTGACTGTACAAAATAATGATTATTCACTTGACACCAGTTTCATTAGGCCTGTCTTCATTAGACCAAAGTTGCAACATAACCCGCTATTTTCAGACTCCGGATATTATCCCGAAGCTCGAAATTGCGTCCTCACCAGACCGATACGCTCATCACAAACTAGCTCGGACAGGCGCAAATTAGCCCACCAGTTCCAAAATAGCGGATATTTTGGAAACAAGACAAAGATTTCTCAAGATACTTTCTTGACCAAATATCCCGCTAATTGCAACTGCGGGCTGATGAAGTCGCAAATTAACTCGTTAATTTGCGATCACGATAGTTAAAATAGTGGGTTATTTGGCAAACTCGAGCTGATGAAGACAGGTCTATTGATCTCTTTATTCATGCATACCAATGAGGTTTACTGCTACTCCGGCCAAACTAAATTTGAATATTTTTTTACGATTGATCTTATTTTAATAATAATCGTGTTTGTGTATGTGTGATTAATTGACTTATCTTCTTGATTTTATTCTTGAATAATCTGCCTCTTGGAAAGGGATGGAAAGAAAATGTGAACTAACGGTACATAATGCTGAAATGGTGATTATTGAAGACTTCATTCATACAGACAAACGATGTTTGCTGTATTCCAACTACAATGTAAATTCTGAGCTTATTCAAAAGATTTATGTGATTTTCATCTGTATGAAAACTTACCAGAAAAATCATGTGATTTGTATTCATTTCATTGGTACCAGCTAGAGCAGTGTTGACCTTACAGTATGTTAAATTATACAAGTAAATGCCATTCTGGCTCCAGAAAAAGAAAATCAGTATTCTTGAATAGTCTTACCTGGAAGCTGTGTAGAAACTACATTTATCTGTACAAAATGCTGAAGTGGTGATTATGCACCAGACACCATTTTAATTGATGTCCTTGTCATGCTGCTGCATACTAATGATGTTTGCTGCTATTTCAGACAGGGAATAATTTTCCTGGTATCGCATCGCAATTTGCTATGCATTTTTGCATGACTGCTATACAAAATATCTTTTGTGTAGCAGTTTTCTCCCATAGAAATGTACAGAATTTCATTTGAAATATTTATCCATCGGCTGAAATTGCTAATCAAAAAATTTGAGGAAAATTATTTCCTGTCAGAGCTACCAACCTTATGGTTCTCCTGGAATTATTCTCAAAATTACAGTAGTACGTTTTTTCTTCATAAAATGTGGTGTGTTTTTTTTCTGCACATACACGTACCGCACGTCAACCAAATGCCCTAAAATGTTGATCACTACTTGATTAGAAAACTTTAATAGAGATTTATGAAGAGTACAAATAGTAAACGCAAAAGAAAGAAAAAAAAAGTGAAAGGCGTAAATATTCTCAAAAAGAATGAAATGCTAATGATATTTATAAATGAAAAAAACTACCTACTTGTAAATAAAGTATAGGTCCTAATATGGAAATAACAGCATGAGGAATGGACATTTCTGCATTGGAAGTGTGTCGTGCATGGTTGTAAGTTTTTTTTTTAAATGAGCTCCCTTTTTTTGCTTTAATTTTTTTTTTTTTTGCCATTATCGTTCCTTTTTTGGGTTGCGCAAGGTTGGCAGCTCTGCTGTTCTGTTCACACTAAATTTTAAACTTTTTCTGTGAGAGACTATCATGTTTGGATAATGAGCATGTAATTTTAGATCATACATGTAGTTCGGAGCGGTTCTCAAATAATAATTTATTTTGAGGGGATAGGTTCTTGCATTTGTCTAAAATTCATAATTATATCCAGTTTTGTTTTGTTTTATTAGTTGTTTTTTTAATTGGGAGGGGGATTTTGGGATGGAGCAGCACTGGGGCTTCAGCCCTCCTCCAAGCACCCCCCCCCCCCCCCCACCCCCTTGAACCACCACTGATCAGGACCACTTTGTATAATTGCACTGGCGACATCATTCCGGTGACATGAATACTTTGTTGATTGAATCATGTTCATTGTAACATAATCACATTAATATGCCATTACTCAGCGTGCATTAGATGAAATTCAATGACTTGGTAAAGTTCTGTGATATTGTCTGAAGCCGCTCATGATGCAAAACATGTACCGTCTACATGTACGTGACTATCGTGAAGTCACCGAGTGTGGTTGTCAGTATATTTAGCTCTCAATAGCCCCCCCCCCCCCCCCCCAAAAAAAAAAAAAAAAAAGAACAGAAAGCTCTGATTACCTGAAAAGGAGCTCTGGAATCAAAACCAAATATGTATATTTTTCTTTGAGAATGTTGCACTTTTACAACACCAAATCCTAAGAGATCTTTTGAAAGCAGAAAATATATTTAACAATCGTTTGAAATTTATATATGTGGATCCTTGTTAATAATTGCTATAAGGAATGCTGGATAATTTTTGTTTAATGTTTAAAAGGGTTACTGAATTACAAAAAGAAATACATTTGTATTTTGTAACTGTTTTAATACTTCTAAAGATGTTGCAGTGCATGCCTTAATGTGCATATCAGTTGTCTCAAATAATGTACATTCCATTTCTTCCTCATGTACAATTTAATAACAACTAAATTAGCCATACTATACCCTTACCAAGTTTGGTAAATTTTGAATTTCTTGTTTCCATTGAACAATCAGCCATAAGGTTTAGGAGATACAAGGGATTAATTTGATTTATTTCAGTTGTCGAGGGGTTTTTCATCGTAAACCAATGTTTAAACTTCCGGTATTAATGTGAATGTAATAATGACGCGTCTAAATATGATCGTCTGATTTGGCTTGCTTTTTCTATCTTTTTTTTTTTTTCCTCTAACTTTATTTTTTCCCCTCTCCCCCCCCCCCCCCCCCCCCCCCCTCCCTTACGTCATATTTTACATTTAATAGTTCTCCTTCTCGTGGCCTTTCTCCGTCGCGTGCTCTTCCTTTTCTTTTAATCTCCTTCTTTTCCTTTCTTCTCCTTTTTTCCTTTATTCTCCTTCTTTTCCTTTATTCTCCTTTTTTTCCTTTATTCTCCTTTTTTTCCTTTATTCTCCTTCTTTTCCTTTATTCTCCTTCTTTTCCTTAATTCTCCTTCTTTTCCTTTATTCTCCTTCTTTTCCTTTATTCTCCTTCTTTTCCTTTATTCTCCTTCTTTTCCTTTATTCTCCTTCTTTTCCTTTATTCTCCTTCTTTTCCTTTATTCTCCTTCTTTTCCTTCTCCTTTCCCTCTTTCTCCTTCCCTTCCTCTTCCCTTTTTCAAAATGATAGGGGGCAGCTGCCCCCCCCCTCCTGCCCTCCCTGTGGCGCAGCCCCTGATGTAGCAATAAAAGAAAACTATAGTTGTTGCCAATTTGAAGAACAACATGCAACCAGTTTAGCCCTATACATAAACCCTGTACTGATATGGTTATTTGTAGGCCTACATGTAGTTCCCTAGGCTGGCTTGAGTTAAGATTGATTTATGTAGGTATCGCCTCCTTTGGAATGTGTTGCTCAATTTAACATTATCAATCACATTAATGTATACAATGCACCATCTGCTTACAACTTCATACCAGATGGTACAGTAGAGAGCCATAGACTGTACATGTATACATGTACATTCCAATAGGAACATGTGACCATGTATGTAGCTAGTTAGTGCATGTATATCAGCCAATCATTTGAATACAATTTATAAATATTTATTGTAGAGACATTTTAAAAGATAAACTTAGAAATGTTGTACATGTATGAACTTGTACATTTTACAGTAAGGGGCCCCTTTTTTATAGGGGAGAACCTGCCATTTGAATTAGAAAATTAGAAACAAAGTACATGTTTGAATTTTATTTTTTAGAGTACATAACGGCATTATGAGCTGTGTATTTGTTATTGGAAGGAACGCGATCACAGCTTTGAAATGATTTTCTATTATTCTTCAACTATTACCTCTTATTCATGTTGTGGGATACTCAAATGCCTTTCTGCCTGAGCATCATAAAACTTGAGATTCCAGCAGTATGGGTGTTTGGAGATCAAATGTACTTTTGAATGTGCATCAACAAAATCGACCTTTTCTTTGTCACAAACTTGACATTTTAAAGTGGAGACAAACTCGAGAAAGTCATGAAATGTTCATAAAAGCAAATGTACACAATGTTCAAAGTACATTTACATTGCAGCCTTTGTGTTCATGTCATTTATTCCAAGGCGAATACATGAATTGTGAATTTCATTGAAAGCTATTTCAAAGTGTTCTTGTAGGTGATGTGAAAGGCTGTATTTTTCACAATGCCATGTCCCTGTGTACTGAAGACAACCTTTACCTTTAAGATCTGTCTCAATACCAAACTGATGGTCCCTCTCTTTGTCTCCATGTTTTGTTCCTCTTACACCTCTCTCTTTCTCTCTCTCTCTCTCTCTCTCTCTCTTTCTCTCTCTCTCTTTCTCTCTCTCTTCCTTTCTCTCTTCCTTTCTCTCTTCCTCTCTCTTCCTCTCTCTTTCTCTGTATCTGTATCTCTCTCTCTTTCTTTTTCTCTCTTTCTCCTTTTCTTAAAAACTGCATATTAAGTTGGAACGCATTATCTACAAGAACTACGAAGTTTACGTGTTTGTTTTCCACTATTTTACCATTAATTTCTGTCTGATTGCGACAGCTCATTGTTTATCTTTGCTATTATCAAAAGAATAAATTATACTGTATGTGTTTTTATATTACCATAGCATTTTACAATTAATATAATAGGAGTCCTGTGAGCTACTATAAATGCACATCACCTTGCACCTGTCAGGCTTGAGATGTTTTTTATCAATATCCGAGCTCGGCAAGTGAGCAGAAATAATAGGCAATGAATATACATTGTGTGATGATAATCCAAGAAAGAATAGAATATTGGCTAGGCGTCAATTGGAGACATGCATGGTTACCCATTCTAATTAGCTCTTATTACAAAAAAGCAATACTGCCATTGTAGAATTGATGATGGGATCATCAATTTGTTTATTAATTTGATTGAAAAATGGCACACAATGGAAGTTCATAATGTATAGATGAGGCCAAGGTTTGTGACAGGAAAGGTTTCATTTTATAGATTTAAAGCAATTTAAAGTTTCTATTTTCTTTTCTTTTGTTTTTTTGTTTTTTTTTTGCTTCTTGATGTCACATTCAAATATACCAGCAGCAAATGTTCGTATGAATGAAAAAACGAAACAAACAGATCTGTATTAAAAGCATTTCAAAGTACATATAAACTACTTATAGATAATCAGAATGACTAAACAACCTTAAACACATGTTGTTGATTGATTGAATTGAATATAGCTGTTGAAAGTACAGCACCCCCCCCCCCCCAACCATCCCCGAAGAAATTGGTGCAATATAGGTAAAATATGTATTGGTTAATACTGTATCATCTTTCACAAAAATGATGTTTGATCATTACATGATACACAACAGCATAGCATGAACAAGAACACAATCATACATTAAGATGTGATGACACAGAAGGGTTACTGTCTAAGCATAGCATGAAAAACCCTGCTTTTCAGTCAATCCATACATTTTATGTGAAACAAGAATAAAAAATAATTTTAATGAAAATTATAGAGAATGAAAATGACCATTATACCTTTCACTGATTTTGCTTGCATTTTCTTGCAATATGTGGAGTAAAGTTCAAATGTATTACCAATCTGAAGTTGATCAGTATTTGCAGACTACTTTGAAAAAGAAAGTTTAAAGTGTAAAGTTTTTGTTTGTATGACCATTGTAATGTAGGTTAGACCAGGGAAAAACAAATACCGGTATATCAATTTTACATACAATGCAAAATAGAATAGTAAGGTTCATGTCCGTAAAGAAAGAATTTTTTTTTTCACACAAGATAAGCTGCGGACATGGGAATAATTTCTGCAAATTCAGCAGAAAAAGAAATTCAATTCATGTCAGTTTAAGCATTATTCTTACTTGCCCTTTTTATTCATTTTATATTGTTTTTATGAGCTCAATAAAGAATATTAAAGGAAACCAAAACCTTCATACTAAGTTACTTTTATTGTAAAGTTTAAAAGATTTGAATAAAATCAGTGAAAATTTGAACAAAATCGGGCAAGGAATAAAGAAGTAAGAGCTTTTTGAAATGACTAGTCACTAGAGGGCGGTATTCAATTTGATGACATCATCTGTGAACAACTCTCCATGCCTTTTGTACATAAAATTTCACAATTTTGTTGTTTTCTTCGTATTTATTTGTGTTCTTGATCCGACTTCATAACATGTGAAGTAGAATATCATTTTGCATTCTATATCTTGATTTCGGGGGAGTACATTATCTCAATCACAAGAAAGAAGGAAAAACATGAAATTTGATGTACAAAAGGCATGGAGAGTTGTCCACAGATGATGTCATCAAATTGAATACCGCCCTCTAGTGACTAGTCATTTCAAAAAGCTCTTACTTCCTTATTCCTTGCCCGATTTTGTTCAAATGTTCACTGATATTTTTCAAATATCTCAAACTTTACAATAAAAGTAACTTAGTATGAAGGTTTTGGTTTCCTTTAAGAACAGACTTCAAATGGAAAGCAATGACATCTCTTTTGGAGAAATATTTTGTGTGTGCTTGATATTACAGGGATGCCAATTTTCAGGGAATAGCCTGAATTCAGGCCCTGGCTGGTTGTTTTCAGCCCATAGTTTAGGCTTTTTTGTGTACAAAATAGCTCATTCTAGGTGATTTTCAGGCCCTCTGAATAATTCTAACTGGCATCCCTGATTTTACCATATTCCTTGATTACTCTGTGCTCCATAAGACTTCATATAATTGTGCTTAATTTTATTGCAACCTTTTGATTATATATTTCAAGAAAAAACCCAAATCATTCTCTGAAATATCAACAGCCTCTCTTCTCCTTACCCACTTATTTGTTTTCATGTAATATTAAAAGAAAACTTTGAAATAACTTGTTTGCAGTAGTCTATCAAATGAGGTTTTGTCGAATTACAATTTTAATTTGAACAGGGCTACATGTAGCACCCTTTTTTCAAATTATTTATCCTACAGTACAAATATTAAAAACAAATACAAGAAACCCATCATTTCCCCCTGGCATCCACTCTGATCCAAGACCAGTTTAAATTCTAGCCAGGAAACAAACATTCAAAGGAACTAAAGGTGAAAATTGTGAAATGCATATTTCATCACTTTTTCTTTGATCGATAAACATTTGATGTGGGTCTTGGTAAACACAATCTTTATCTTGTTTGTTTCCCCTTTTGTCAGAGCTACTTCTTATTGACTTTTCATCCCGTGTAAACTATTTGCTTAGACCCTGATCTTCAAATATATCTCTCATGCCATTCTCTCACTAAAAGACATTGTATTCAGAGTTCTTCAGAATCATTTACAGGTTGTACTTTGTTGGGTCCACAGTGTGCTAAAGAATCTCTCTAGCTGTCCTTTACAGTTGCTGATTTTTAGTAACAGTCAGGTTTTCATAAAATTTAACTGTGAATGTTGGACCAAGTAATCGTTACTGAAGTCCTCATTTTGTGTTGAACATTCACATTGTTAGTTTTTTCTTCAATGGGAATCATGGCTAAGTTGTTCAGTAAGTACCGGTATACTATGATCAGTGTAAATGTGTTAATGTGACTAATAAATGTAATTGCATTCAGCATTTCTATTTGCAATATGAAGAGCTGAAATTCTATTACACTTAAGAATTAATATTGCCATTGATATTCATCTACATTTGTATCTGCTTCATGGCAAAGCTCCACTTTTTAATTTATATTCATAAGAATGAAGCTGTTTCTTCATTCGTCTACTACATTGCAAACTCGAAATGTGAATTCATATTTGATTGACACAACAATTCTATATGACATGTCTTTTTTGTATAACACTCATCTTTAAACAAAAAAGCGTTTAAAAATGTGTAGAGTCACGTCTTTATGAACTGTAAGTGCTAACTCTGCACTGATCATCACCACCACTGGTGCAAACTTTCGATTGTGAATCAAAGGATTTCCAGGTTAAGTTTCCATTATTTTTCTTTTTTCTTCACCAGGTGATGAAACCTTATCTCCAGCATTCTTCAAGATTTGTGTGAGCCAATGTCCCGCCCAATGTGCCACATAAGCAAGAAACAGAGACAAGGCCTGATGGCACTATCGGTAGTGGCTCTTATCTTTGCCATCCTAGCATGGTACTACGTCACGCAGCACGGTCGCATGGCCGTGCAACATGTGGGACCGATCAAGTTCTACCCGGAAACCCACGAACTGTACATCGTCAATAAGACCCATGATGTGGTCTTCAAGGCGTGGTTGGGGAACCCCTTGCCCCACCCCATCTACCCTCTGGACTGCACCCGTCAGTTCCAGACGTCCAACTCCCTCTGCATCAACTGGGTCGACATGGAGACACCGAGCAAGGTGGACAAGGAGTATGCTAGGATGGAGGTCACCGTCAAGCCGCCGGAAGCCAATCTCCACTGCATTACCGTCGAATGGACGTCCTTCATGCTTGACTTTGCACCAATGGATTGCATCTCTTTAACAGACGCCCACTGGTTTGGTGGTGCAAGCCTGTACCGCCAACTGTGGCCCTTGGATGATACGTCCATCCCCATGCAACCATACCTGATGAAGGACATCCTAGTGGAGTCAGATAGGCACGACGTTTGGGGTTCTGTTCTTGAAAACTATTGGTTGTCTTCCAAAGGAGTGGCGGTACTTGTAGACGAGGATGTTCCGCTCCATGTAAGCTTCAATCAGGACTTCTCCCAGACGCTGTGTTTGAAGTCGGAGTACCTCGACTCTCCGTACCAGAATCAACAAGTCAAGTATCCTCATCTGAAGTATACTGTGTGTTACAGTGAAGACATCAAGTCAGTCCACCAACAGGTATACAACAGGTGGTTCCCGAAACCTCAAGGCATTCCTGATGAGCGGATGATTAAGTCCCCTATATGGTCAACATGGGCGCGCTACAAGACTTTTGTCAATGAAACACAGGTTTTAGATTTTGCTGATGAAATCCTCCAACACAACCTGTCCAACAGCCAGATTGAAATAGATGATAAGTACACCACGTCCTATGGAGCCTATGATTTCAACCAGACAAAGTTCCCTGATGCTGCAGGGATGATCAGAAAGCTGAAAAAGAAAGGATTCCGGGTGACGTCTTGGTTTCACCCTTTTACAAACCTAGAGTCTCCAAATTTTAGAGAAGGTATCAATCATGGATACTGGGTGAGAGATGTAAGTAATTCTGTCCCTGCTCTTGTAAAGTGGTGGCAAGGAGAAGGGGCACTCTTGGATGTCACAGACAACAGATCAAGGCAGTGGTACCTCAACAATCTTCAGTCCATGCGCTCAGACTACGGTCTAGACTCCTTCAAGTTCGATGCAGGTGAAGCAGATTTTTTTCCAGTCCATTACAACGTGACATCCCAGGAGTTTTGGAATCCCAATGAATACTGTACCCAGTATGCTCAACTTGTGTCGGAGCTTGGCGGTATGATCGAGGTGAGATGTGGACACCAGACCCAGAACCTGCCCATCTTTGTCCGCATGTTTGACAAGGAGTCCTCGTGGAGCCATGACAACGGCCTCAGGACGATGATCCCTTCTGCTCTAACCCAAGGCATTCTAGGGTATCCCTTCATCTTACCTGACATGATCGGTGGAAATGCGTATGGAGGAGATGGTGTCTTTGACAGCACCAACCTGAAGGACTTGCCTGAGAGGGAGCTCTTCATACGATGGATGGAATTGACGGCCTATCTTCCAGCCATGCAGTTCTCCATCGCGCCCTGGCAGTACAGTGATGCAGATGCTGATGATGGGGTGTCCATCGTGGATCTTTCCAGGGAGATGATCCGCATCCATGAAGAGGAGGTGACGCCACTTATTGTCAGATATGCTCAGGAGGCACTATCGGAAGGTAGGCTTTAATTTATGTATGGCTCGACAATTAATACAGGAGTGTGCCACACATAGGGCTTCCATATTTACTCTCTTGAACCTTCCCCCTCCCCCCTCCCCCCAAGAATTAAAAAAAATTAAAATTGAATTAGAGGATCCATGCATGCAATGGAAAAATGAAAAATGGTTATTGTATACCTGTAGCTCTGCCTTTCTTGAAATGATTGTATTTTGTGATGGTTTTTCTGGTGAACAATATTATTTTTTTATGACATTTAATCAAGTGAAAGTTAACTAGTCACAAGAAAAATAAATTCAATTAATTTTTTTCTTCAATTTTCTATAGAAAAAGTAAGATTTCTCAGGTGAATATTAACATCGTATGTTATTCCTTGTTTTTGCTTTAGAGCCACACTGCTGTCCACTCTCCTGTGTGTTTAAACCAAAATTAACATTTAACATGCTATCTTCAGCTTTTTCAAAGTAACAACACAAATGTGGATCCACTTTTACAAACATACATGTACATATGATTATTAAACGTACATGTACTCTCCCTTTTTCAGTATTTGTTTTTCTGGGGATTCTTGTTGTATGTCACTCTTTATCTCACTGTGTTTCTTCCCTTCTTCATAAATATATGCCTCCTTGTTTCCGTCTAGCTATATTTGATTCCCTCTTGAATATACATGTATTCATATCCAAATAACCATGGGAGTGATGGACATTGGTAATGGATTCTTAATAGTAATGTTTAATCGGTGCATATTGCCATTAGATGTTTGTGTAGGCATTGCCAGTGTGAAAGGATGTGGCAGCTCTCAAAGGAGCTGAAAATAATTAATTTGCTTTTATTGTTTGAGTAATTTTTAGGGCTATTAAATGCTGCATGGATTTCCCTATTGTTTTTTATACTAATTTATCTTACGATACAGTAACACCTTGAACAAATGAGACTTGATAACACAGGGAAAATAACATATTGTATGAGCCTGATAGAAAGACTTTAAGGTAATACTAAAAGTATTTGTAAATGTTTAGGGGTAGAATGGTAGTTCTCTCAATATTCTTTGGATATAATAATAATAGTGGGTTCTTGTACAGTGTATAGCGCTCATGTCTGTCAGAATTGACACTCCTGGCGCTTCCGGAAAACAAACTTCAATTAGAATAAAGGCATTCTTAAAAGCCGAGAGGTAAACTGATGAATACTGTTCTTTGACCCCAGGTTACCCAATCATCAGGCCTCTCTGGTGGCTCGACCCGAAGCACGAGGACGCACTCACCTGCGACTCTGAGTTCCTGATCGGCGATGCTGTCCTGGTGGCCCCTATCCTGGAACCTCACTCACGGTCGCGGGACATCTTCCTGCCCAAGGGTCGCTGGAGGGACACCCTCCGTAGGGACAGGATCATCGAGGGGCCACGTTGGCTTCGGGATTACCCCATCCAGCTTGATGAGATTGCCACGTTTTACAACGTTGAGGATAAGTGAAAAGAGTGTGTGAAGCTTAATGGAGTGTGGTGAGGAGGTGATGCTAGTGGGTTAAGATTCTTGATTTCCCTTGGGGTGGAAATGAACGATACAAGGTTAATTATGGAGAAGGTGATAGCCATGTCTTGATGCAGCCACCCTGAAATTGCCTGATGATTTAAGGAATGAACTTGATTCAGAGATTTGTTAGGAGTTGTGGTGAAGTTGAAGTGTGTTAGTTGCCTTCTTAACCCTTCCGCTACAGAACGTTTGCCTTCTGCACAAATGGCTGTACCAAAAGCTAATGGCTTTTAGACTTGTGACTACAGAAGGGTTAGGAATGGTTATCAACCTATCAGCACAAGCATCAAATGCACTCAAAGTGATGCTAATTTAAACAAGGTTCCATACTTACTTCTTTTTTTTGGGGGGGGTGGTGTTACAGAGTCATCAGGGTGATATGTTATGTGTCTGTGATCATTTGACCCTGTCAAAATTTAGACAATTATGGGAAATATGGGAATTCTATTTTTTTTTTTTTTTTTTTTTTTTTTGGGGGGGGGGGGGATGGACTCGGATCACACTTGACACTTCCGGTAGTCAAGCTCATCTAGCTACTTAGGAAAAATTGATGTCATTTTTTCTGACAGAGTTGCTGAGAAAGCCTTCTGGTCAGTGCAGAGGGTTATAACATACCTGCCAACCACCCCGATTTAGGCGGAGTTCCTCCGCATTTTTCATACCAACTCCGAATTCCGAGTGCATGCCTCAAAACTCCGATTTTTTTTAATTTAATTTTTTTTTTTTTTTTTTTTTTTTTTTGCACTTGCACTTGGAGAGTATATAACTATCATGGTTGTATTTTGAAATGTAAAGCGCCTTGAGCATGTTCATGTAAAGGCACTCAATAAATACCAATATATATGTATGTATGTATAAGACTAAAGCATAACACAGCACTGATAACCAGATCACGCCGACATCCGCGCTCGCGCTCATAGAAGATATACACAGCGCAGCCCGAACGTGATCGTTAGTTCCCCCCCCCCCCCAATCTACGGGCTACTACCCCAATCCTTCGGTGGTTCGCGACCTCGTAGTCCATCCAGAAAAATTTCTCCTAATTTCTCTTGTCTCAGGTTGGCAGGTATGTTATAAGCCAAAGATTAGTGCGGGACATAGCCCCCCAATTTTTTAGAACAATTTACCGGTACTCAAATAAATTTTCTTCACAAATCAGAGAATTATTGGCAATTACAATAACTCAAATTCCAGATATCTGACTGAAATACACTTACAATGTCGTCACCATCTGTCTGGGCAAATTACATTCATGTCAATTATCACCTGTACAACCCTTTACTCTTGATTGAGAAGTTGGGGATAGATTTAGAAAACCAGTTTACGAAAAGATGTGACTTTGCACTCAGAACAATGTTGATAGCGTTAATGTTGCTTTTGTCTTAATAAGACAAACAATCAGTGATGTTACAGTAATTTCTAAGCTTGATTTTAGGCCCTGCTACATCTCTGTTTCAGGCATTTTCAGGCTTTATATTAGAGCTAAATAGTGTATTTCTTAACTGGGAGGACTCATTTCAGGTCAATTGAGTTAAAACACATGATGGTGCTCTTCCAGTTAACAATGTACATTGCCCGTACTTTGGAAGTTATCACTTGTAATTGTTTTGATAAATACATTACAGACATCTTGAAAGATAGCACTGAATTTGTCACAAAAATGGATTTCATTGCTGTCATGAAATCAGGTTGTGATCTGTTAGAATATGGGGAAAGTTGGATCAGATACTTTCATTGTCAGATACTTGGAAGTTGATAATAAACTCAACAGCCAAAGAAGTAAAGATTGTGGTCATTCATAGCTGAAGAATGTGTGTATGGTTTCAATATAGGTTTAATAATTGTATATCTCCCCGACATTTTTCACTTGTGATCTTTTATTTGTTTCGGCGACAATTGCTCCAGCATTAATTTCATGACAGATATAGGGTAAGATAAAGGGTTAGGTTTAGGTTTAGTTTAGTTGCAATTGGGTTGTATGTTGGGTTTAGGTATTTTTGCTAATGTAGGAAATCATCATGCAGCAATTGTTGCAGGAACATGTTTCATACAGCCATTTCATGCCATGCAGCATCTTGTCTTTGGCCAAAAAAGTGGGACATGTGATGACCTTAAAGTATTTATCTATAAAATCAATAGCCTAGCTGTTGTACTTTAAAAGGAATATAAAACCGAACCTCATGTATCATATGTAAGGTCAATTTGCTGTGGACTGATTCTAACATATGTGTTGAATTTTCTCATAGGTGTCTGTTTACAGTAGTAATTTACTTTTAAATTAATTTGCAGTGAAAAATTGATGAAGCTTTGTTCACCCATTTGTCACAGTAAATTGGGTAGAAATCTTCCACGTTACATGTACATGTATATGTCTATACCGGTAGCTTGTAATGTGTATTCAAATTCTACATCTATATATGAACACATTGATCAAAGAGTAGACATTGAGGCCTTAGTTAAACACATACCTGTATTTTTCTTAGTAAATCACATTTGATTGAAATCATGTACCGGTACATGTAAAGTAGTTTAACAAAGTGTCTTTTGAAAAACAGAAAATTAGACTACGGTAACAGTTAGACTGATATCAGAAGCGTGTCATGTTGTCAAGCTTAAGACAACAGAATGATAAATCCACAAGCATTGCTGAAGTAGACTGCCTGGTTAAAATGTTAATGATCTTCTATTGTTAAGCTGTTAGTCAATAGCTAGTCTGTCAGGTCCGGGTGTCAGGTACAGTTATGTTTTATTCAACGAAATACGTTTTGTTTGACAGTATTTAGACAAGGGAATGAAAAATATTTGTTTAGCTTCGTGTTTAGTGGTGGAATTGACCTTTGAGAATTGATTTAAAATGCAGATTGTTGATTTTTGTCAGTAAGAATGTTTGTAACCATGATAATCAATATCTTGACCAAAAAAGTTGACCAATGAATATTAATGGAGAATATTTTGTGAAGATGGAAATACTAGCTGCTACATTGTATTAACTCATGTAGGTTGGAGTGTCCTGTTTAACATTTGCCACATGTACCTGTATGTTGCATTTAATGAAATACCTTGTATATGGATCCTACGTGTATCATGTATGAAAGACGGGCGTTCGTTTGATACTGAATTGTCTTGCTAGCTCCATTGGAACTGTATGTCCTTAAACTGTAGAGGGCACTGTTCACCATTAGAAGCTGGCAGTGATTTAGTCGTGAAATTTCACCTTTCATGTGTTCACTTTGTCTGTCTGTCTCTCTGTATCTCTCTCTCTGTCTCTCTCTCTGTCTCTCCCTCTCTCTCTTTCTCTCTCTCTTTCTCTCCCTCTCTCTCTTTTGCTCTTTGTACTTATCATTTTTCTTATCTGTTCATAAGAACATCTCTTTCATTGCAATGCAAATTCCACAGTATTGAGGAAATGTTTCATTCAAAATTGCAGAATAATTTCATGTAAATTTCATTATTTTTGCCTCTCGCCTTTTCTTTCAACATGTAGCTGAACATTCATGTCTTCTTTGTTATATTTTCTTTGTTCATATTTTTGTCTTTCAATTCTTTATAGCTACTCACTAAAATCTCAACTCATTTTTACAATTTCTTTCATGAATGTGAATTTACATTTTTATCTTAATATTTGCTCATCATTTTTCATTCCATCAATGCCTCTTTTTTGCACTTATTCATCAGTCTAAAATTGATATGTACTTCACGCAATATTTCAAAACTATTGTAATTTGTAAAAATTTGTCTTTCACAGCATTAGAAGCTACAGAATATTTTAGCTTATTAGGTTTATGTATATTTAGCTTGCTAATACTCAGTTTTTGTCAATCATTATTTCAATGCCATACATTTTGTTGAAGTGTCTTTCTGCTGCATATATTGAGTATTATTGTGCTCAGAGCTGTATCCATGTAAACAGAATTACTCTTTAGATAGTAACTACCATATCTAATTTACCAGTATGAATGATGGAGTTATACTAACGCCAAGTGATGTTGCCATTGTGTGTGTAATACCATACTTTTCAGTGTTTGCAATGCTCAGCTAAATTTGTAATTTATGTTCTTAAAGGTAAAGACCAGTATTGGAAAAGCCCCAATTTCAAAAAATGAAATGGAAGCTCTCATTACCAATCATGTGAAAGAATATGTTTTGACTAATACATGATGATAAAAAAATTGCCGGGAAACCGCCTACTAATTCATATATTTGGTAAATTTGTTTCTCTCATGGTCTGTGAGAGATATAGGGTAGTCCCATATACATCTTTCTGTGTATAGTGCTTGTAACTTTACGAAGAATGGGCCAAATTTCTTATCATTTTGATGATTCCAGAACCTTGCAGATGCAAGATGCTAGATGATCAACCTTTTCTGATCGATTCCACAACGTTTCTTTCACAATGCAATCGCATGACCGTAACTGGTCTTTACCTTTAAATTCTACTACAATCTACACTTATTTCTGTTTACTATGTTACTCTTTAGTCAACAAATTACATCAAACATGTTATGCTTGAAAATGTAACTGCATCACCATTAGGAGGATGATTTTACCTGACTGCTAAGAAAGCATTATATGATTGTAAGTAAGCAACAAGGGGATCAACGGCTTTAGGTCCTCTCTGAGGGACTTGGTAATGGGGATTAATTCCTTACCAAAAGGCATTAGTGCATCCACTTGGTTTCAATCCCAGGACCTCCCGGTTACGAGACCAGCACTTTACCACTGAGCCATCAGGCCTCCTTAATTAACAAACACTATTAAAAACTTATTTACTTTCCTCTTACAATTTTTGAATGCATAAATACATCATGTTGATCTTTCATATTTAAGAGCAATGCATGTTTGTGGTTTCATTGTTTGTATAATCTGGAAAGCATTTGAAATTTGGGTATAATATGTCGCGTTAATGCTATAAAGTTTCCAGAAAATGTATTGTTTGCTTTATACTTATGTTGAATAGAAAGAGATACTGCTTTCACATGGTTTATTGTATGAAATTGTTAGTAATGTTAAAATGGAATATATTTTTTAATTTGCAATATATACATGTATATGTGAAATTAATTTTCATAATTTTTTTAAATAAATTTCTATTATTTATTTGAAAAGAAAGTAGTTATTCACCCATATGATGAATAGACCATGAACAATAATTATCTGCCTTTTATGTGTTTGAGCATAGATTAATTATTGTAATTTTGAAGTACTTGTACTTCTAACTTTCGCACTTGACAAAAAAGGATGATTTCGTGTTAATTGTGTGTTTTAATTCATTCGCTCACTGCTATCATGTGCAGAATTGCCTTAATCTTAATTTTGGTGCTCTATTAAACACTGATCAATTGCTTCCTGTACTGCTTATCTCACATTGGAATATTTTGCTATTCTCAAGTAAAGTTTTTAAATTTCTTATGAACAAAAAAATGTTGAGTATTATTCTCCAATCAGTAACGTGCC